TTACAACAATAAATAATAATAAATTATTATTATTTATAATATTTAATATATTTAAATACGGGGCGAATTTTTAGAATCGTCTCCAGAACCAAAGAAAAAAGCGAAGAGAATCAAAGATGGTAAGAAAAAGCGAAAGAAAACGGGTGCAGCCGTGAAAACTGAAGAACCAGACGAGCATAGTAAAGAAAAAGAGAACCGGCTACCGCATATGACTAGAACCATCAAGGAGGAACCCTTAAGTCCTGCGGAGAGATCCGGAAGAGAACGAGAAACGAGAGTGCGAGAAGGTGATAACGGCAGCCGAGGAGAGGCAGACTCACACAGAACTAGAAAGCATGATGATCGAGAGGAGCAGAGAGCGCAGAAAGTGAAAAGACATCATGGTAGTGATGAGGAAAGAATGAGAGAACGTGAAAAGAGTGGACGAAAAGAACGAGAAGGACGAGAGAAGGATAGTGGGATAGGAAGAGACGATCGGCGAGAAAGTCCTGCAAGAGAACGATCTGGTAGTCGTGGAAAACCGGAGAAATATCGNTGGGATAGGAAGAGACGATCGGCGAGAAAGTCCTGCAAGAGAACGATCTGGTAGTCGTGGAAAACCGGAGAAATATCGTGACGATCGCAGAAAACAGGCTGATGAAGAACGTAAAGAGCGTGAGAAGCTAAGAGATGACAGAGAAAGAGAAGAAAATACCGGCAAGCGATCCGAAAAAGAGAGTAGAGTGCGTGAGAAGAAGAGAGAAGAAGACAACGAAAAAACTAGGCAAGCGGATAGGAAAAAAGCGAGAGATGTTGATGATGATGGAGAACGTAGAAGGAGGAGAACCAGAGATGATGAAAACCTCAGGTCTGCGGACAAGGAATCAACCGGAACCGGAAAGGAGCGAAGAAGGGATCGCCGCGCAAGTCCGGAGCGAGGCAGACGTGCTCGAAGCGGGAGTATATCGCCGGATCGAGCTCGAGACTCAAAAAAATCAAGACGCGACTAAGAACTGTTGTGGAGTTGTTTTAAATTTTGGTTTGGAAAATTTTGATTTGGTTGGGAGAATTTTGAAATTTTTTTTTGAATTTTCCAGTTAATAATTGTTACTGTTACGGCTTGATTTTGCGTTGCTATCGATTTCATGCGTTCCGTCTGGTTTCATANATTTACTGTATTGTCATTGTTGTTTTTTCGTGTTGTTATCGTTATGTTAATTGTCAGTAATGTTATTATTATTATTATTTTTGTTATTATTATTATTTTTATTATTATTGTCGTTATTGTTATTGTTATTATTGATATTGAAAAAATTCTCGAGAATGATAGATGCGTGTTTAATTTTGTATTGTTTTAATTAATTAGCTTGATTAGATTAATTAGTTAGACTGCTGCTGATTGATCGCGCCACCACCAACCAGAAAACGATGAATTCTTGAGGTTTTTCAGCTGTCTATCGCTTTTCGGTTCTAAGGTATGAGATGAGTGAGTGTATGGAAGGATTGATTTGTTTATTTAGACATATGGATGTGTGAATTAAAATGAATAAATGTAAGCGTTGTTTTAGCATGTTTAAGTTGATATTGTTTGCGTTCTTGGCTTAAAGGCTTGAAGGCGGATGCTTATTGGTGTCTTGGCTATTGTTTTAATTATTATTATTAATTATTATTGTTTTAATTAATTATCTCGTTGCTA